AAAGGACCATGCTCACAATCGGGTCAAGTACATACCAAAATAGTTATGAGCTTAGACACCTAATCCAACACCTTCCTCATCCGGAACCGACGTCGAAACTTTACAACATAGATGACATCATCTGAAAAGTAGTCTTCTATAAGACGATCGTGTCCGACTTCACGATTCCTACGCAACAACGGGTTTCTTGGTTTAGATCGTGCACGTGATGTTTCGCCTCGTCGGTTTTGAAAGTATGCAACCGTTTTCACCATGACGGAACCGATAAACATAGCCTCCTCTTGAGCCGTCGAATCGGATGATGAAGATGATGACATTTGATTAATATTTTTTGGAGAGAGTAAGAATGTATAGGTTAAAAAAATGTTGGGTGTTGTGGTATTTATAGTGGGGGAATAGAAATATATATATATATATATATATATATATATATATATATATATATATATATATATATATATATATATAGGAGTAGGATCAAATGAGAACATCTAAAAGGTTGAGAACGCGAAAACAGATCTAAGCCCTCTAAATTTTAAAATCAAAGGTTAATATTAACGGGCCATTTATATAAATTCTGAAAGTCATAGGATTAAACTGTAACTTCCTAATTAACTAAAAGGGTATTATAGTCATTAGGTTTTATCTTATTTTTATCAACTCCTAAAATCTCTCTCTCTTTTTCTCTCTCTCTCTCACACTCGTTTCCTTTAAACCCTAATCGATGGAAGCCAAGACTAAAAAACGTACGCCTCTTCCCTCTCATCTCTCCACTGCCGACTTTTGAGTTTTCTTCAACCTAGCCGCTGCACAAGACACAAAAACACCACCACTGCCATCTTGATAGTTGAACCCGCCAGCAACACCACCGTCACCATCATCATCACACAACAATCATCTCCACGCCTCTATCAACAGATGGGCAGAGATCGTTTGAGAGAAGGAGAAATACAAAGACATATTACATATCAGAAGCCTACAACTTGATTTTATTTCATCGGGTTTCATTGAATATTCTAGACTTGCAAATCGATTTCAATTTACAAGGTATGGTCTCGATTTTGCTTGAATGCTGCTGTGAAGATAAAGGATAATGATGGAGGCTATGTCGATGGTGATGATAATGACGGGTACAATTAGGGCTTTCTTTATCTTTCATTTTTTTCATAATCAATTATGCAAAAATATTAGATAGAGGGGACGAGGAATTAGAGAGATGCGTGAGAAACTTTTGAACTGAATATGAAGGTTCTGAGAGTTCTTCCATATGGGTTTTTGTGGAGGTCCTTTTGGAATTGTTTGAGAAGATGAAAGGTGAAGAATTTAAGCTAGAAGAGAATGAAAAATTGTATTATGTTCTATATTTTTTTAGATGTAAGTTATATTATTTTTTGATGAATTCATTTATGTTAGAATGCGTATTTATTTATGAATAGCAGTGTATTCATTTGTGAATAGCAGTGCATTCATGTGTGAATGAATGTTTTTTATTTATGATTTGAGGTATTCAATTATTCATTTGTGAATAGCAGGGTACTCATTTGTTAATAGCAATGTATTCATTTGTGAATAACAGTGCAATTATATGTTAATGAGTGTATTTGTTTATGATTAGATGTATTCTTTTTATGAAAAAATGATAATTTTTACAGTCTTTTATTTTCAGTTGATTAAAAAAAGGAATTGGATTACTTGTAAATTGATGTATATTTATTTGTGATTGGAGTAGTATCATGTTTTTTGAAAAAAAAAATCATTTGTGAATATTCACAAATGTATTGATTTTGGGTTAGATTTCTATTCATTTTTTTGAAAAAAAAAGTGAAAAAGGAGAAAAAAATGATTTTTTAAGAAAAAAAATATATATTTTTTTCAGTTTTAAAATAAATTTTGGTAAAAATGTTTTTTATATTCCATTAATAAGAAAAATAAAAAATCAATTTTTTTTGGTAACTGATCCTAAATTTAAGGGGATTTGATTGAATTTTATTTTATTTTAATTTAATTAAAATATACAATTACTAATATGCCCTTATATATTGATTGGTCCAGAACTGTTCTCACGTTCTCAACCTTTTACGTGTTCTCATTTGATCATTTCCCTATATATATATATATATATATATATATATATATATATATATATATATATTATATATATATATATATATATATATAACCGTTAGAACAAAAAAAAATTCAACAACTAATCACGTGTGGAGTGAGAATGCGGCAAGTCTACCCCTCGCCCGGTTCCCGCGCATCGCTTCCCGCACCCCCGGTGCGGTGTTTATCGGAACGGGAAACGCCCCGTCCCTCCTTCCCGCACCGGCTCCGTCCGGTCTAATGAAAATAATATTTTTTGATGTGTTACATGTAATTTTCGGTATGACATGTTTTCTCAAATAACTATTTGCCAAAAAAAATATATTTTTTCTTAAAAAACTAATTTCTAAAAGGCAACATGTTAAATATGACACTAGGTTTTAACATTACGCAATTGCAAAAATCATCTTAGTTTCTATATTTATAAAAATCTAACTAAAGTCAAGAAGTAAGTAATTTGGTTTTACGATGTTTGGTTCTTGAATTAGATTTTTGGAAAGAATTTACTGATTTGAAAGAAAAGGACTTGTCGAACGAAAAACAAATATAAACCAATCATTTAATTGAAATTTCTCTATTATATAAAAATTAACAAATTTATCAGTTTCTAAAAGGGATAATGACATAAAAAACCTTAAGTTTGGTAAAAAAATGTCGGTTTTACCCTTCGGCAGATTTTTTGTTCGTTTATACAGCAAACTTGTCATTTTTTTTGCCGTTTTGCCCTTTTTACCTGCAATAGCAGGTTTCCAGGTTACCATGAATTATTTTTTGTGAAAAAACCCTTAAGTTTACAAATATTTTGCAAAAAAACCCTTAAGATTATAAACATATAAAATATAAATATATATTCAAAATTTGATAAAACTAAGTAGTTTTTCTAAAAATTAAATGTCAAAATTTTATATCAAACTAATATAAGTTTTATTGAACTTATATTATGAAACCAAAATTGAAACATATTTTTAGCTTTACATACGGTAAATTTTATATTGGTTTGATATAAACCTTTTATATTTAAATTTTAAAAAAGTTACCTATTTTTATTAAAATTTGAATATATTTCTTAATTAATACTTCAACTTTTCAAAGCAAAATTAAAAAACGTCTGATAGTTAATAATTAATTATGCTAAAATAGTTAAACATATGAATAATATGACATCAATTACATTCAATTAATTTTTTTAAAAGGTAAACAAAAATATTTTATATGTTTAAAAGGTTTGTATTTCAGAAATAATAATGTATCATATTTTTTATATGTATAAATACATAATAATATTATCATATATTTTTTTATAAAAATATTATAAACATTTTAAACATCAAAAATAAACATAAACATTTTAAACATATAAAATATAAATATATTTGTCTAATTTATTATATAAATATATTTATTTTTATAAAAAATATGATAGTTTATTATTTCTAAAATACAAACCTTTTAAACATATAAAATATTTTTATTTTCCTTTTAAAAAAATTAATTGAATGTAACTAATGCCATATTATTCATATGTTTAACTGTTTTAGCATAGTTAATTATTAGCTAACAGACGTTTTTTAATGTTTCTTTGAAAAGTTTAAGTATTAATTAATAAATATATTCAAATTTTGATAAAACTAGGTAACTTTTTTAAAATTTAAATATAAAAACTTTATATCGAACCAATATAAAATTTACCGTACGTAAAGCTAAAAATATGTTTCAGTAGAAAACTATTTAGTTTTATCAAATTTTGAATATATATTTATAATTTATATGTTTATAATCTTAATGGTTTTTTTGCAAAATATTTGTAAACTTGAAGGTTTTTTCGCAAAAAAATAATTCATGGTAACCTGGAAACCTGCTATTGCATGTAAAAATGGCAAAACCGACAAAAAAATGACAAGTTTGCGGTAAAACCGACATTTTCTGCCAAACTTAAGGCTTTTTATGACATTATCCCATTCTAAAAATAACTTCTAAACAATTATATGAGTTAGGTCAATGTTATGGACTATCATTGTCGGGTTTTATATCAATTATAGCTTTATACTTCTCTTTTTTTTTCATACAACGAAATTATGTTGTTTTTCCTTTCGTTTAATTCCGAAAAAATAAATTAAATGAAAATGAAAAATGATAGATAATTCAACTAAAAAGACAACTTATGTGACCAGAAAGGTTGTCAAACTAATAAAACAAAAAATATTGTATTTAAATAGGTCCTTCAACAATTATAGATATTTATGCATTTCATTTTATTTTTTAAACATTTCAATATAACCAATAACGTGCTCTCTTCATGTTGCTTTATCTTATTTATTTATTGTGTCGGTTTTTTATAACTTTATATGTATTTTTTTATTCGTTCCCCTATATTTTACGCGGGTTATAATCTAGTTCATTACGATTTCTGATTGGATCTATTTCGTTTCAAAGCCAATTTGTTAATCCGATCCATTTTTTTATTAATCTTGACCGAATTAAATTAAAATCATTTTGATCCAATTTTATTCCTCCAAAATATGATACATATTTTTATCTCTTTACTATTCCATCTGATCCGTCTTTTTGTCCAAATTACTGTTCATTCCATTGTTTTGAGCCCAATAACGTGGATTTATACTTTTGAGCCCAATCACGTGATCATTACTGTTCATTCGATCCAAAATCAAGCCGAATTCTTATGCCGATTGTTGTTCATGATCGATCGAATTGATCTACATCTTTTACACTGTACAAATCGTTGATATTCATTCGATTCATCTTCCCAAAAAGAATTAATTGGTTTGGGATTTATTCAGAAGCCCAATCCAAATCATTCAGATCAATTACAGATCATAACTCGTTTCTTTTACTTTAATTTGCTTTCGTCATCTGATTATTCTTTTGGTGACGACATCTCGCATTTCACGACTCCAATTAAAATTCAAGATCACGTTTATCATCATCATCATTAATTCAATCAGATTCATATCACGTTCTTTAAATCGTTCCGTTGTCGCATCCTGTTGTTTGATCAGATTTGATTTGTCATCATATTCGACTCTTGGATTGATAATCGATTTTACATTTGGGTTGATCGTGAATATCAATCAAAGAATGTCATGAGAAATTCTCATGAACACGATAAAGATGGTAATGAATTTGTTTGAATCGGGTGTTTGATCTGAAAAAGTTAAGACGTGGGAGTATTATTGTAGATTGCCTCTTTTAACTAAAGCAGGAGGAAGGGCAAAGTGGCAAAAAGAAAAACGAAGTCGTTAGCTGTTTCGTTGTCTATGTTTCTCTATGCGAGAAAACAAGACCGTGTCGGAGAAAGGAACCGGAAACTGAGATACCGACCGGAAAATCGGGATAGAAAACGTAGAGAAAACACGATTCGATAATCGAAGGGCACAAAGAGAAAGACAAAGGAAAGGTTGGCGGAGGTTTGTTTGTTTTGAATAATTTTGGCCTCTGCAACTTTCCCCAAATGATGTTACGCTATCGTGGTCATCATCCCCCTTCCCTCCATTTCCGCTTTGTTGTTATCGACAGGAGAAAGGTTTGAATACGTGCATGCAGACTTGGAGATGTTTTCAAAAGCATTAGATCTTTGTACATTGTCCAGATTTCCGAATAGTGTTGGGATGGTTTTTTGGCAACCATACTGCTTTAAACAAGGAATATTTGGGGTTTTCTGCCCTACGTTTTCGTTTTGGTTTTGATTGTACCCTGGGATGGTAAGCCTTTTCAACTTATTACTACTTCATCAATTAGTATTTCCTTGATTTGATTTGATTATATTACCAATGAGATTCATGCAGTTATGTAATCATGTTGATTGTTTACAGAAGAACACTTGGATATATTCATTTAACTTTTCCTTGTTGTGGTACAGGCTGCTCCATCCAAAGTAGTGGTTGGATCTCAAGTCTGGCTGGAGGATCCTGAGGTAGTTTGGATAGATGGTGATGTTTTGGAAATCAATGGTGATAATATTAAAGTTAAATGTTCAACAGGAAAAGAAGTAAGTGACTGGAAGTAGAACATTTCCTTCTTTGAAACATTTTTTTTTCCATGATTTGGTGACGTTAATTATAATTATAATATATTAATATATCATACAGGTAGTAATCAATGCAAGCAGTGTTCTTGCAAAAGATCCTGAGTTTCCTGCAGGTGGAGTGGATGATATGACAAGGCTTACTTATTTACATGAGCCGGGGGTTCTACAAAATTTAAAAAGTCGATATGATGCGGATGACATTTATGTGAGTAGAGTAAGAGTAAATTATGATATATTAAATAATATATTTTCCCTTTTTAGCGGATTTATAAGGTAAGGTTGTGGTTTCTTGGTTCTTGGTAGACATACACAGGAAATATATTAATAGCTGTGAACCCTTTCAAAAGATTACCTGATTTATATACGAAAGAGATAATGACACAGTACAAAGGTGCATCATTTGGGGAATTGAGTCCACATCCTTATGCTATTGCACATGCTGCATACAGGCATGCATCTTTTTTCAATTAATTATTTAGTTCTGATTGGTTGCTTATAATGTGATGATATGATTTGTATTTTATATGATACAGGCAGATGGTGAACGAGAGAATAAGTCAGTCAATTCTTGTTAGTGGAGAAAGTGGAGCTGGTAAAACAGAAAGCACAAAGAATCTTATGCAGTATCTTGCTTTTATGGGAGGTCGCCCTTCATCTGAGGGGCGACGGAGTGTCGAGCAGCAAGTTCTAGAAGTATGTATTTTTTCAAAATTTGTATTTGTATATTTGTATTTATTTGAAAATCAAAATTTGTTTCTTGTGGCAGTCTAATCCGGTTTTAGAAGCATTTGGCAATGCAAAGACACTGAGAAACAATAATTCAAGTCGTTTTGGTAAGTTTGTTGAGATCCAGTTTAATGACAGTGGAAGAATCTCTGGAGCTGCTATCCGAACTTATTTGCTGGAAAGATCACGTGTCTGCCAAGTTTCTGATCCTGAGAGAAATTATCATTGCTTTTACATGTTGTGTGCTGCACCACCAGGGGTACTTACTTTTTTTTTTTTTTTTTTTTTTTTTTTTTTGTGTGTGTGTGTGTGTTAATCAACAAACACAATTAAAATTAAACATCTGCTGCTATATTACCCCCTGTTCTTAAGATTTTGTCATTTCAGGAGTCTGAAAAGTACAAAGTTGGAAATCCACGGACATTTCATTATCTTAATCAATCAAATTTTTACGAATTGAGTGGAGTGGATGAGTCCCAAGAGTACCTTGAAACTAGGAAGGCTATGGATGTTGTTGGGGATCAATTCGGAAGAGCAGGTACCTAGCCTAGGTGTTTGACATATTTACTAAATTGCCCTCGATCGTTTGAATCTTACCTGAATCATTTTTTTTTTCTTTCTCTTCCTCCAAAACAGGATGCTATATTTCGTGTTGTTGCTGCAATTCTTCATTTAGGTAACATTGAATTCGGTAAAGGAAGTGAACCAGATTCCTCCCAACCCAAGGATGATAAATCTAATTTCCATCTAACAACTGCAGCTGAGCTATTCGAGTAATTTGTTTTTTTGTTATTATGATTATTGATAATTTAGGTGAATATAATATAATATAATATAATATACAATATACATGTTATGTTTAGGTGTGATAGGACGGCTCTTGAAGATTCTTTTTGCACACGTGTCATTGTGACTCGTGGTGAAAGCATAAAGAAGTGTCTTGATCCAACGGCTGCAACTATCAGTAGAGATGCATTTGCCAAAATAGTATACTCAAAATTATTTGATTGGTAGGTTTTATCCGAATGGTATTAAATATCAATTAATACCTTCTTTCAGTTTCATGTTTTTGATGATTTAATTAATAAAATAACTGAGTGAGAATGACCCAGGCTTGTGAACAAGATTAATAATACGATAGGCCAAGATTCGGACTCAAAGTTCTTCATTGGGGTTCTGGATATTTATGGATTTGAGAGTTTCAAGACAAACAGGTGCTTAACTGGTACGCTTTGACTTGCTTGCCAGACATATCAGGTGCTCATTTTCTTATTTTAGTTTAACATAAATTTCATTTCCTCTCATATGCAGTTTTGAGCAGTTTTGCATTAATCTAACTAATGAGAAAACTTCAGCAACATTTTAATCAGGTTTGTCTCATTAATTATGTTCACTCATGTCATGTATATCCTATCCTAGCATTAATCTAACTAATCTGGATGTTTTTCAGCATGTTTTCAAGATGGAACAAGAAGAATATACAAAGGAGGAAATAGACTGGAGTTACATACAGTTTGAGGACAATCAAGACATTTTAGATCTGATTGAAAAGGTCTGTTTCTGTTTCTGTTTCTGTTGAAAGATGATATTATTCATCCCCTCTGTTGATCTAAATAATTAAGGTTTTGATTACTTCAGAAACCTGGTGGAGTGCTTGCTCTTCTGGATGAGGCTTGGTATGTGTTACATGTTTTTTTTGTCAGATTAGTTTAAATTTTTAAATCTTAATTTACCAAAACTTTGATGCAGCATGTTTCCAAGAGCTACACATGAAACATTTGCAGAAAAGCTTTATCAGACATTCAGTAACCATAAACGTTTTAGCAAGCCAAAGCTGGCAAAAACAGATTTCACCATTTGTCACTATGCTGGTGATGTATGCATCTGAAATTTTAATATACCTATTGATCTCTGTCATCTTTTTAATCAAGTCATGATGGTTTCAGGTGACGTATCAAAGTGAGTTTTTCTTGGATAAGAACAAGGACTATGTTGTTGCAGAGCATCAAGCACTCTTAAATGCTTCAACGTGCCCATTTGTAGCAAACTTATTCCCACCAACGCCAGAGGATTCATCTAAATCATCAAAGTTCTCATCAATAGGTTTAAAGTTCAAGGTTCTTATTCACCAATCCACCAGTGTAGTACACTAGGTCATCTCATTTTCTCACTCACTCATTCACTCACGTTACGCCATGTGTCTGTATTTCATCTTCACAGCAACAACTACAAGCTTTGCTTGAGACACTCAGTCATACAGAACCGCATTATGTTCGTTGTGTCAAACCCAATAGCCTTTTGAAGCCTGATATCTTTGAGAATCCGAATATACTTCAACAACTTCGATGTGGGGTAAGTTAGGGATTTTCTTATATATATATTATATAATATATATATATATATATTCTATATATATATATATATATATATATCCTATGTCTTGATGATATTGAATATTGAAAATTGAAGAAGATTCATATGATTTCAGGGTGTTATGGAGGCAATCAGAATCAGTTGTGCAGGGTTTCCTACTCGTAAACCTTTCACTGAATTTGTAGAACGCTTCAAAATCCTCGCACCTGACGCCGTAGCAAAATTGTACTTCTATCTATCAATTCCAAAATTATTAATTTTTTTTTTTGGAAATATATAGTCTTGATTTTGTTTCTCATATTTATTAACTGTAGGAACGATGATGTCGCACGTTCAAAGATGCTATTAGCAAAGGCAAAACTTGAAGGTTATCAGGTAGGTATACTTTATCATATTTGATGGGTAATAATACATACAACTATACAATTCAGTTGATTGAAATGCACTGGTTGTTGCTTACAGATTGGTAAAACAAAAGTTTTTCTGAGAGCTGGTCAGATGGCGGAGCTAGATGCTTTCAGAACTCAGGTTTTAGGAATATCTGCAACAAAACTCCAGTCAAAATATAAGTCACATGCAGAACACGGGAAGTATGTTATGTTACAACAAGCAGTTGTTCCTGTACAGACTATCTGTAGAGGTATATAGTATGTAAATTATATATGACAAGTAGAAGTATGTATGTAGTTACAAATAATTTATGATTTATGATGGCATTGTAGGGCAAATTGCACGCAAACGGTTTGAACACCTAAAGAGAGTAGCTGCATGTGTAGTCATCCAGAAAAACACACGTATGTTTCTGAAACTAAAATGTTACAGGGCTGTATATGATTTGGCTACTAGACTCCAGGCTAGTATCCGTGGGAAGGCTGCAAACAGTAAGTATCTTTCCCAGAAACAAACAGATGCAGCAGTTGTAATCCAGGTATGTTACTTAAAGCAGATTACTGCTATGCTGTATATGTGAATTTTTATTTTATTTTATTTTATTTTTTATCAACTGTTTGCAGAGTATATGCCGACATAATTTGGCCCACAATCGTTTTGTCAAAACAAGGAATGCAGCAATAGTCACTCAGTCTGTTTGTAGAACAAATTTAGCACATGCAGAAATAACCAAGCTTAGAAAGGTATGACATCTATATATATATATATATATCATTTTGGTTAATATATAATAAAATAAATTTTGCAGGCTGCCAAATCAAGTGTTGCTCTGGAAGCCAAAAATAAAAAGAATGAAGAGATGCAAGAACTGATCTCCCAACTGGAGGCGAAAGATAAAGAAATTGCAAAGCTAGAATCTTATATAAAAGAGATCACAGAGTATCCCATAAAGGAAGAGGGCGCTTCAGAGATAGAAAAAGGACAGCTTCCTCGACTTGAAGACATTCCTATTACTGGCAATGAGACAGTTGATAAGCTTACTGCTGAAAATATCAGACTCAAGGTAATACAATTAAACAAATTATATATATTTTAAAATTTAAAATAAATATGTCTTTCTTTTATTTTCAGTACATGGCCAGTGCCCTGCAAAAGAAATTTGATGAGGCCCACAAGCTGTGTGAAGAGAGGTCACAGCAAGCAAGGGATGCAGAGGCAATGGTAATCGAGCTCAAGACCTCCATGCAAAGGTTCTATTATATAATTGATAAATAAAAATATTTCATTATTATCTGAGGCAAGGGCGAAGTAGTAATTTTTGTCCTTGAATTCATTCAGCCTTCAAGAAAAAGTTTGTGACCTGGAGGAGGAGGAATTTATTCTGCGCCAGCAAGCCATGATGAAGTCAGGTTCTATGATGGTTAAGGTATCTATCTTATTTTTATTAAATTTAGATAGAAATATATCTTGTAAAAACGGATTTTATGTGCAGGATGAAGAAAACGGTCTACATGGAAGTCCAATGACTCCTGGACGTATGAAGAAATTCAACAGCAGTTTGAGGCGTTCTGCCAATGAAAAGCATAATGTATGTATGTATGTAATTAATACATGCATGTGTTTAAACTTATATTTAAATAATTATATGTGAGTTTGACATTGATTCAGGAGAATGTTGATGCTCTTATTTCGGCTGTTAGACAAGAGATGGGTTTCAGTCAAGGAAAACCAGTTGCCACTTTAATAATATACAAAAGCCTTTTACACTGGAAAACTTTTGAAGCTGAAAAAACAAGTGTATTTGATCGTCTTATTCAGATGATCGGTTCCGCTATTGAGGTCAGATCATTTTCATTTTTTATATCTATTTTTGGTTTCTTTCAACATTACCTTTGTATCCCAAAAATTGTTATATTTTTTATTTGGTGCAGTTTTACGGTTTAACCATTTATACTTTATTATTTCAAATCAAACCATAAAAGTATTTTTTCCAATTTAACCATTTTGACTACCTAGATATATCAGGTCGATTGGTTAATTTGGAAAATTATATGACACTTATATGGTTTGATTGGAAGAAAATAAAGCATAAAGGGTTATATTCTATAGGGTGTATTATAGATAAATGATTGTATTTTCGGGCAATAATTTATACTATTATTTTTTCCCCATCAAACCATAAAAATTTAAGACATTTTGACCTGATATAATACAATGGTTAATTTTGAAAAATGTTGAAATTTTTATGTTAAGATCCGAAAAGATAAAGTATTTTTATCTATAATATAAGGAAGATTTATTTGGTATCTATCTATTTATACCATCTTTTCCAGAAAGAGCATGACAATAAACATTTGGCATATTGGCTGTCTACCACATCTACATTGCTATTTTTGCTTCACAAGAGTTTAAGCCCTTCTCATGCAAAAGCACATTCACCATCATTATTTGGAAGGATGACTCAGGTAATTAGTTATGCATATTCCAATTCAATTCCCTGATGATTTATTTATTTTTAAAATAAAAACAAAAGGTGTTTTTGTAGGGATTTAAATCGTCTTTCAATGACATAGTGCGCCACGTAGAGGCCAAGTACCCTGCTTTGCTTTTTAAGCAACAACTAACTGCTTATGTTGAAAAAATCTATGCAATTATGCGTGACAATTTGAAGAAGGAGTTAGCACCCGTTCTTACTAATTGTATTCAGGTACGATGTATCTTATCTGGACAAAACAAAACTAAACAAACAGAAAATGTCAATTTTTTTGTCCCATTCATGGTCTCACTTAAATACAGTACAACCTGTTTTGTTCTGTATCATGTCATGAATAAGACATAGGGCCTAAATTAAGTCCTGTATGAGTAAATGACGTCTGTTTCTTTTTCAAGATTGAATAAACTGTCTGAATGGGACTAAGTGACCATTTTACCCTCACATTCCAAATTATATACATTTTTTATCTATATTCATCAACATTAATGTGAGAGAAGTTGGGAGGAAAAAAGAAGGTAAAGGGCTAATTATACATTAAAGCATTAGGAGGGTTGTGTCGAGATTAATTAAAAAAGAAACAACCACTTATGTTTGTTTGTGTAATGTGTAATGATGAATGATGAGGTCCTGTAGTGTTTGGCATAATATATATAGCCTTTTAATGAAATTGTAGTCCTAATAACAGGCAAAACAAACAAGGCACTAATTCATATTCTCCAAACGGTTCAGGCACCAAAGACCACAACAAACGGGCCTCCTCCATCTAGTCACTGGCTAATTGTTATTCAGTGCCTAAATATCATGCTCGATATATATAAAAGTTACAATGTATGTCTACTTTTCCTTTTCCTTCAATAAAGTTAAAAAAAAAATATATATATATATGTATCCTGATTTGACCATTCATTCAGGTCCCATCAGTCCTTGTTCAGAAGATGTTCACTGAAGCTTTCTCTTACATCAATGCACAGATTTTCAACAGGTCTTATAATTCAGAAACTCTTCCAATTATTTTATCAAAACTTATGTAAACTTTACACCTTTTATGCAATGCAGCCTTTGCACACAACCAGAGTGTTGCACCTTCAGAAACGGGGAATATGTGAAAGGAGGGTTAGGTCAGTTAGAGCAATGGTGTACTCAGATCACAGCAGAGGTAAATGTTGAAGTTAGCCCACTCATGTTCTTTTTTTTTGTATTGTTGTTTAAAAAATGACTTATACTTGGTGAAATGGAAGGATAAAAAAAGCCAGGGAAAAGTTATGAAAATATAAAGTCATTCTTTTTTACATCAAGTCCAAAAGAAATACCCATATATAGTTTTCCTTGACTTAATGGGGACAAAAATGCATTAATTCCCCAATCAGAACTGTATCCATACAAAAAAAAGGAAGAATTGTATTATTATGTCAGAAAGAAACATCAGCGTATAGTAGTAGGTCCTGTCTAACCATTCCATTAAATCAGTATGTAGGTTCATCAATGGATGAACTTCAGCACACAAAGCAAGCAGTTGGATTTCTGGTATGCTTCTTCTGATTCTGAAAAAAAAAACTCTGTAAATTCAATCTAGTTTCCTTTTCTTATTTAATTAATATATATTACTTTGTGCAGATTATACCACAGAAGCCTAAAATTGGATACGATGAACTCACAACTAAGCTGTGCCCAGTAAGTATCCGCATTTACTTGCATTTTTTACAACCCCAAAACAAACAACAATGTCAGTAAGTGATAGTTTTTGTTTGTTTTTTTTTGTTTATTAGGTTCTAAGTGTTCAACAACATCATAGACTTTGCACCTTCTATGTGGATGATCACAATACTGGAGGTGTATCTCAAGAAGTAAGACATTAATGTTTTTATTTATGGATATTTTTAATGTCACATGTTTAAAAAGTTCTTTCATTTTAATTTAATTACAAATTTATTATTTATAGGTAATAGAAAATGTTATAATTATAACAACTTATTTGGGTTTTAATCAACTTTTAATCATGTTCGATTTTTTTTTTGGTAAATATAATTTAAATAGTTATAATTAGAATAATGTATAACATAAAGTTAAAAATATATATTGTATTTGTATATATATAATACAAAATTTTTCGATACATAGTAATGATTCATTCCATTCCTTAAATTTGTCATTATATTCCATCCATTCAACCAAACAAACCGACCAGTTTGTATTGTTTCCACCAATAATCTTTTCTCACCCTGATAGTGTGTGACAGGTTATTCATAACTTAAACGTGTTATTGAAATCTGAAGGTGATACTCATAGTAATGCTTATTTGCTGGATGACAATTCTAGGTATATATATGTATTCCTAATAAGAAAAAAAACTAAAACTTTTCTTTTTCTATGATAAAAGAAGCACAAGTGATTCATATGATTGTATTTGCAGTGTTCCATTTTCAACCGATGACATTAACCATTGCCTCCATGAGAAAGACTTTTCAGATATGAAACCAAGTGGTGAACTCCTTGAAAATCCAGCTTTCCAATTTTTACTGGAGTAGGGTGTGGTTATTTTTGCATATCAAAAACCACATTGTACATTTTTTTTTTCTTTCTAGATTTAGTTTAGGCTACTCATTATTTTAGTAGGATCGAGTGTAAAGCATTATGTTAGGTTAGACATGTAAAATTCATAGGTTATTTTAGGTAAAAATATAGCAACGCAGGGAATCTTCATTGTGTAATGTATGTTTCTCCCAAGTCTACTTTGTATAATAGGAACCTTTCAATAGCGGAAGATTTGTTGACGATCCTATATATATTATGTTTGCGTATCATCATCTATTCAAATAAATGATGTCAATTTGTCAATGATATTTTCTAGTTTTTCATTTTCTTTGGGAATCAATTAGGCTGACACCTCCATGTGTTTTGTAATGTTTAGATATTACAACCGATGGAAAACCTAATATTTGCTTAATTTCGAAAGCCTCATCCGAATGAAGCACGATCAACTTTGAAAAGATTATTAGTCTTGTAGGACAAAAGTTAGTCAAAGTTTGACAAGAACATTTTATGCTCATAATGGGGACCCCACCTAATAATTACAGATAGAAGGCTTTACGTATGGAAGGACAGCGACTTCCATGTACCAACTTATAGCCATAAAAGGGGAGGACAAGGCCAAATCCGGATATTTCTAATCAAAAGTGAAGCACAACAAGACCTAATCAAATCCCTTGAGAACTTTCAAGTACCAAAAGTGTAACATTATTTGATAAAAAGCTCCTACAAAGCTAAGACAAGATACCTAATGCATAAAATATTAGCTCAAATACAAAACGCATCACCTAAGCCAAATCCATAAAACTATAACAAAGGGGAGAAGATGTCTAATAAAGCAAGACAAGATATCCACTCCAACTCATTCCCTATAATACCACGACCCGACTTTCTAACCTAAGCATCGAAGAGTATTACCATGAATCCTCCTGGTAATGGTAATGCTCATGACATTTCTTGTCTCCTCTTTTAGAGAAAAGATGCAAACTCTCCTCAAGCACATCCTCGAATCACCATCGGTGGGGATGGTGTAGCATCATTGGCACCAATCGTACATTTAATTGAGAATATAAAATAAAGTGGCAGGAAAAAACCACAACAAAACAAACTAGTCACTCTGTTTAGTCCAATTAACATGATACTAACATTCAAGAAAACACCACCACCAAACAATAAAGGCATGGACTTGCAACCTCAAAGGGAGCAACAAACCCAAACATCAACACAAACAACAACAAAAAGCAAAGGAAACAACAAAACAAACCAAATTGATGAAGCCATCGAAAGATGCCAGGCAACACCCCATGTACGAGCGAACTTAGTCTTGGTAGAAACAGAACGAGTAGTAGCTCTAGTGCCAGGCACGAAAGCAGTAGCACAAAACCACGGGCATAATCATGAGGTCACGACAACCAACACCATACCCCAATTACTATACTAACCTATAATACACCTATAAGAGGCACACCACAAGATCGTACAACCCTACACAATAATTGCACCACCTTTATTGTTCATTATGTACCAGAGCTTCTGGTCACCAATAGCACCAAACAACTTAATTTATGCAAACACAAGCTTACAACCAACCTATGTCACAACCAATATAGTGGAAAAATGATAACCTAACACCAATTGCTCGAGAATGATAAATAATGATAGGGAACACACAATGTAAGTCAAAGTAGAATACTCAGATTAGATAAATTTGTTGGATGTATGCCCATGGTTAGAACAATTTGGTGATATTAGTATAAAAAAGGATCATTTTAGATCACACACAATATATGATTTAAGCATGAAAATGAAAAAAAAAATGATAAGAGTATAGTTTATTAACTCATTAGTTTATAAGGAGTTAATTAGAAACTTGAAAATCTCAAGGGGTTAAAGTGTAAGTATTTTATTTTTAAATACTAGAAGAGGATAAGGTTTATCTAGTCAATGATTGTTATGGAATAAATTAGAAGGCATTAGAATCACACACACATACATACAAAAAACATTATTTAACATGGTTTGGTCAATGTGACATACATCCACACCATAGGATGAAATATTCTTATTCACTTAGCTCAAATAGAGTAACAATACAATCAAAAAAGACAATCAAGACCATAGAGACTTTGAATTCGACCAACACAAAGGAACCAATAAAAGATCATTCAAAAGATCATCAGTAACTCCTAGCTAGAAGCCTTTATTTATAGACTAAGGATCAAAAATAAAAACCTGATGGGCCATACCCATCCATTCATAGGTGTAAATGGATATCAACAAATCACAAGACGTCATGCAACTGCTTGTAAATTCAACCTTTGACTTAGGAGAGCACCTTTAATCTAAGAGACCACCTTTGCACCTTGGAAACATATTCTAGAGGTGTCAGTACATCCATGAGTGCATTCAACAACATACAATTCATTCAAAAGACCATGAGCGCATCCATGAAGAACTAATGCATCCTTTATCAACAACGTATTTGGTGAAGTGAGGAGCACATTTTCCATGACTAAGAGTGCATTCTGCTTGCTCCATCAGGCGGAATGATTTTAATAAAAGCCCTAGCATATTCTGATATTCCATGAGTGCATTTGAAAAAATCCATAGAACTTTTGGCCAAGTGCTCCAATGTCCAAATGCTCCATCTTGATATGCTCAATCGTGATTCAGAATGCTCCACCATGATTCAGACTGCTCCACCTTGATTCTAAATGCTCAAGTCACACATAACAATCTCCACCTTGACTTGTGTATACTCAAAGCTTTAGAAACTATGAAGTTCTTATGTTTCTCCTATGAAATTGCCATGTAAGGACTTAACTCGTACAAGATAAGCTTGAACTTCTCTGTGGGTAATGACTTTCTTAACATGCTTGTTGGAATATCCTTGGTATCAATCTTTAGAATAGAGAACTTGTCTTCTTCTAGAATGTCACAAATATATTTACATTTAAACAATTGGGTCTATATACACCGAATCAACCTAACTGTTTTAAAACTAAAATTCATAAATTCAAAATAAAATATATTTGTTTTAAGCAACTAAAAAATTGTCCAACATACTCCAAGGTAAAACACCCATGGGGTCCACGGGTGTGGTGTGGTAAAGTGGGGGTTCAAATGTGTCATGGAACCTAAGAACCTTTTAGATAAGGGGTTGGATAAAAAGAAATATTTTTATTGGTTGAAATTGCATTGTTTTTCAAAAAAAAAAAAACTAATTATAAGTAGTTAATTATATGTTGACTATTGATAAAGATGTGAATGAGGTGTCTAAGGGGTGTCAATTTAGCACCACCTTTTAGATAATTTATATATGTTAAGGTAACGATATACTAGAATTGTAACAACGTAAATTTTCAAAACAATTTTTCATTTTTAAATCATACTTTCATTCACATGATAATCACAAAACATAATGTGTCACTGTGTCATAACAAAAAACATGTCCCAAAATCTCAATAACATAAACTCCATAAGTGTGTACGGATCATGCCGGCGCCTTCCCACGGTCCTCGCTAGTACCTGAAACACATATCATAACAACTGTAAGCATAAATGCTTAGTGAGTTCCCCAAAATACCACATGCCACACATACGCCTTTCCAGGCCACAACTCTGTAGGATCTTCCGATCCATGTGTCTCAGGGGACTCCCGTCCCAAATCCCGGTAGACCTTCCGGTCCTACCCGTATCGACCTTCCGGTCCGTAACCTCTTGACCTTTCGGTCCATATCATACATAGTCATACATAGCATATACATATCACATAACCGCATATAGCACATACATCATAGCATACAAGACCTTCCGGTCACACATAAGTACCTTTCCAGGTACAGTATAGTGAGAAGACTCACCTCGTATGATGTCTAGTAACTCACGTGCTCGATATCCCTGAATCTCGAAACAACGACCTAGCCCCGCCTAATCACATAAAGTAATTATTTCAAATCATTAACGGCTCTCAAGGCTAGACTAATCCCTTCCTATGTCCTCTCAGAAGGTTAAAAGACCATTTTACCCCTCAATGGTCCCAAAAGTCCAATTGTTGACCAAACCCTAAAAGTCAACAAAAGTCAACTCTCAGGGTTACGCTGGGCGTACCCGGTGACCTCACAGAAACGGGGAACGCGACCCCCTACGCCGCGCGTACTGGGATTACGCCCAGCGTAACTCCCAGTTTCAGACTCCTTAGCTCTTGAGGTCTTAAACAGTTAAGACCCACGTCCAACTTTTAGATCTGACCATTTCTAAGCCTCTTAATCCATAAAGTTGGTGACTTTAAGCCTTTGCATGGCTGGACAAGTCACTAACACCCATAACATTCCATAACCCAATTCTAGAAAGCTCATAATACAAGCATGACCTCATATCAACGACCAAGATGGAAACTTTATGGATCTATAACACAAATATCACTGAAATGGGACAAATCTAGGTCCATGGAGTCCTTTATGCTCATAAAGTCTCCACCTTTGGGACTTTAACCCTAGAAATGGTCCATAAAGCACAAACCAAAAATAACAAGGAAAGCTTTGAGCTTTACACCTCCAAGTGAAGCTCCTCCCTCTGTAGAACTCAGATCCAAGCTTATACTCCAACTTCTAGCCTCCACAAGAACCTCCTCTTCTTCTTTACTAACACACAAAGGCACTTTCTTGCTCAAGAACACACACACTAGCTTTAGAACGATAAAGTTGCTCTTCTAGGGTTTCTCTCTGAGGGATGGTGGCTGGGGACAAGACCATCTCATTCCTTTTATATCCCTCAAGCCACAATTAGGGTTTTGCACCTGGGCCAACTACGCCCAGCGTACCTAGGCGAGTCCGCATCCAAAATAAGCGCATGAGTACACGCAGCGTACTCTTGAGTATGCCCAGCGTACTCATTTGCTACAATTTCCACTCAAGGGCTAATCATGACAACTTGACAAAAGAGAAGGGTTAAATAGTTGTACCAGAATTTCGGGATGTTACAATTCTCCCCCGCTAGAACCAAACTTCGCCCTCGAAGTCTCATGCTGAAAACAACTCCGGATGCTGCTCTCGCATCTCTGACTCTGTCTCCCAGGTCAGCTCAGACCCCCTCCGATGTTGCCACTGAACCTGAACCAGAGGCACCTCCTTGTTCCTCAGAACCTTGATCTTTCGATCCACAATCGCGATTGGCCTCTCAGCATA